ACCGTGACAACGTGTCCTCCCACTGTGACGCCCCGTCTCACCCTCTCAGAGATATGATGGACGGAAGAGAAATACAAAGTTTGCTCATCCCACTCAGGGAGTCGGCCGAGTGAAGTGGACGGATCAGCATCGTCCTCTACAGGCTCATGCTCCCGTCGAACGTCTCGGGACCGTGAACAAGAGCCTCGCTGTCTAGCCATGCTACATTTTGCAGAATCATTATAAATTAAGGTGCTATGGTATCTAAGAATCGCCTAGCTGCATGATATTATGTTTGCAAAAAAAAAAAACAGAGTACGTAGTACTAAAACAGGGCACAAATTCAAATTGAGCATATACGGCATTTTTCAAGAAAATAAACAATTTCTTGCAATACTATAGTAATTATTGTGACAAATTGGGCAAGAATCGCTAGCAAAAACATCAAGAACAAGCCACATTGTCTTCCCGACCTTAAGAGGTTCAACAATGGTGATTTGTTCGTTTCTTCACCAAATTGAGTCAAACAAGTCTCAAATTACTCCCAAGGCAATATATAAACATAATCAAGCAATTTTATGGCATAAAATTCGACAAACAAAGAGAATTAAGAAATTCTAGTTTCAAATTTTCAAGAAATACGTAAACAAACTTGTGAGAAATTCATTAAAACCGGTGTGAGTTCGGAGGAAACTTACATAGATCGGGAAAATGGATGGAATGATCTTTAATTTGCAACAAAGTTGAGCGAATTCGGTTGAGAAACGAGCAAGAACGAACCAAATGAAGTTTTGAGAATTTCTTGAGCAAGAACGCGAGCAGCAGCAGCGGAAATGAAGAAGAGAAGAGTATTTAAGGAAAACCTGACTCTAGCGCTTAGCGTCAGAACTTGGCGTCAGTCGATAAGGCTTAGCGTCTGGCGCTAGTGCCAGGGTCTGGCGCTACAGCCAAATATGCAGCGCTAGCGTTATTTCAGCGGCGCCAGGCTTCTCAGCCACTCAGTGCGGTTATTCCAACCTCTTGCAACAATTTTGGGCTCCTTCGTACGCCAGTTAGCCCCTCTAAGCAATCTAACATGATTTTAGTAATCGGCTTGATTACAAATTACATAAAGTGATCGACCTGATAAAAGATCGTCTCACTTAGCTTAAAGAGCCTAAGCATTGGCTCATCGCAAACGGCACCGACATACTGGTTCATATCGCAAAAGGCATTAACATACAAGTTCGAAAGCAGCAGAAGCGCCGACGTACAGGCATAGCGGAAACAAAGTTCAAGCGAGCTTTTAAAGATCGACAAGCGTAGGTCTTCGGTAGCTTCAAATGAGGATAGTTTTATCACAAAGTTCAAGCGCCGACGTATTATCACAACAAATGAGGATAGCTTCAAGCGAGGATATCTTCGGCAGCGTTTCCTAGCTTGCGGAGAGTTGTCACAAACAGCTGGAGGTCGTTTCAAGCGAAGCAATAGTCGATGGGGTTCTCTAGCTTGCAGAAGTCTATCATGGCGGAATTGGAGGCAGTGACAAGCGTAGCAGTCTTCAGGCGGCATTCTCTAGCTTGTAGGAGGTCGTCAAAAAAATTACAGAAAATACAGCAATACGGCAGCAAATCGGTTACCTTCAGAGACGTGTGCTCGACGGTGCAAGATACGCGTTTCTTAACTCTTTTATCTGTTTAACTAATGCTAGTTTGCAGGTATCGGCGTTGCAAGAGTGATTTAGGATCACAGAACGTTCTGAATCATTCTCTGTCCCTATTGACACTTTGACTTTTGTTTTCGAAACTTGCGTTTCTCCAAACTCAGTCAAAGTGGGGGCTTCTGTAGACACCCATTTGTGTCTCCCCAAAACCAAACCCGGTGATGAGTACCTTTCACGTCGAATCGTAATCGAATGAAGTGAAAGTGTGGAAAGTCTAGTGTTGCGGATAGTTTTAATTTCTTTTCTCTACTCTCTGTTTTTGAAAACCTATTTTAAGAAAACAGCCAATCCATTTTGGTTGGTCCATGATATGGGTCCAATAGTAGTGTAGTTGGATAGGGCTTGAAAAGAGCTTTCCAACGATATATTATAAGCCCAATTTCGATGAATATTGAGGAAGTTATTGCCAAATTACTAAACTAGGCCCGGTTTGAGCCTTATATGCGGCCCAATGATCTAGAGGAGGGCCTAATATGGATTTATCATTCCTAATGTAATTAGGAATGGTTTTAGTCTTCTAGATTCTTCTAGAAGGTTCTTTTCATTCCTACTTCAATTAGCATTGACAAATTGACTATTGTTGACTTTTAAGAGTTTTCATCAGAATAAAAGAATGTTTTTGAGGAAAATACGATTTTATCCTCCTGTAAGGTTAATTTCTATCTGATTTTAGAAAACGCGTCAGAAATTTAATCAGCGCCAAATGCCAGTCATTAGCGCCTGGCGCTAGCGTTAGCGCCTGGCGCTAATGTCAACGTCTGGTGCTAACCTTGTTTTTGCGCGTCAGAACTCTGTTTCGATTTTCTATCTTTTTGGATGATTTTCTCTATAAATAGCCTTCTAACAAACTCCGTTTTCATTCATCAATTTTCATTAATTCTTCTCTATAATCTCTAATCTACAATCATCAACTCTCTCTAAGCTAAAGCTTCACTTTCTCTCTTTTCTAAACCTACTCTTTCTTACAAAATTCCGCATTCACAAGACCTAGATACACCTAGCCAAATTTGAAGTTGCCTTCTCCCTAGATGTGAAAGGTTTTAATTTCTGAGGGTTTGGTCACAAATCTTTATTTCAATTATTTAATTTAATTGTTTTTATTATTATTTCCTTGAAGTTACTAACGTGTGTATTTTGTTATTAAAAATAGGTACGAGGCATCCAAGTAAATGCTTTAATGGTTTTTATTGATGTTATTATGTAGAAATCATGCTTAGGTTGTTATTGTGATTCCTAAGGTTATGTTAGGGCATTTTGATCTTCCTAGTATCATGTCTAGGGTAACTTTAATATCAAGTATGATTAAAATTATGGTGTCTTTTATGTTCTTCCTAATATTTATGATTGTTAGTATCATGTTAGGGTTAAAGCTTTGATTTTTATTGTTTAGTGACATGCTAGGGTTTGTTATTAATTTTGTTAGTATCATGCCTAGGATCTTGCTATTATTATGCTTTAACATGATTCATGATTATTTTTATAATTGTTTTGATTATGGTTTTATGATTATTATAATTATTATTTTGATGATTATTATGATTATGATTATGTTGCTTGATATCATATTTATTGTTATTGCTTGATCACGCCTTTTATGCATGTTAAAAGAGAATTGGTACTTGTAATCACGTTTATATAAGATAATTAATAATCTTGTTAGGGTTAATTTGATTATAATTCAAGTGATCGCCAATAATAATTTATTTGTGCATTTATATTCAACCAACATAGATAAACAGGTTTAGGGTTAATTCTATTGATTGCATGTTAGTGAGAAAGCGCACATGAATACGATCAGAATAAAGTAGAGGTCTATTATTAGGGCAAGTTCAATCTCTTTTAGGTTGGATTTGTACCTTCATCCCCGAACTACCAGTCATGGTTCACGACCTATTGGAGTTAACGATCTCTTGGATCGTTAAGGGGTGTAACCTTCACCTCGTGAACGGTTTACAAGTTCCTAAAACTTGTTGCGACTCTTTTGCTCTATCTTCTTTCCCTTTGGACGCCACCGTACGTTAGTGTATGATCAGAGTGGGGTTCAAGCTAGGGGTAACGCTTGAAATATTCCCTACAGGACCCCAAACAGGCCCAGGCGGAGGGTGAGGCAGATAAGAGAGAAGAGCCCCGAAAGCCCCAAAGACGTCATTCCCCATTCATCGTACCATGTCCGTGATCGTTGGTCTCCAGAGGTTTCTGGCCAGCAATCCGGTGAATATGGTCACTCAACTTCAACCATTGAAAAACTCAACTGATATCATACAAGTTGGTCGGATTTCAGTTTGATGTTTGGTTAGATTGTTTGATCGTTTAACTAGTTTAAGTAAGATATTATTGAACAATGTTGGTAATGTGTTTATGTGTTGCTTGTTTTGAACAGTATCATTCTTATTTATTATGGACATTGTGATTTAACAATATTTTTAAATCATGTTATCTTTCTTAGCCTATTTTGTATATATTAATACCATTCATTAATAGTAGTACCCTTGGAACAACTAATTGGTACTTTTTAGCGACAATTGGTACATTTGGCAAGATCATCTGTACCAATTATCAAATCATAACACATGACAGTGATACATTTTAAACACTACTAGTTCTGCTCAAATTGTACCAATTGGTACATTTTAAACAAATATTATGTCAAATTGTGCGTAAATATAATGGAGGAAATTGAACCATTGTCACAGAACATCGCATAAATTATACTTATCAAAAGTTTGAACAGAATAGATTAATTGTGATTGGATCCTGATGTACCAGGAGTCAAGCCAAGGAGAGAAGCAAACACTCCGCCAGAGTGTCCTCCCCTAACCATAGTAAAGTATCCTAACGAACCATCCAAATCCCTCATTTGTATTCCCCCTACGGATCGAATATACTCACTTGTACCTAAAGATATGTTAGTCGGGGTCTGAGCAGCTTGCTTCCTAGCATCATTTTTCGCCTTATTAGCAGCCTTTTGTTTTCCTTTCATTTTAGTGCACAACGGATATCTAACATTTGTAGTACGATGTGCCTTCTTCTTGGGTAAGGGTGGATCCTTAATCCTACCTGGAGCAGATCCTTCGTAGCTTCCATGGATTCCACTAACTAGAGTACTGTTGTTACGGATTCCCGATGCCACTGTGAATGGTGTGTTTGTCGCCTCAGGCTCATTGTTCTGTGCCACAGAAGAGGGCGTACGGATAACTCCTTGCACACCTTCATCCTCACCAGGACCGTTCTCATTCTCTCCTACAACCTGCCTTTTCGCAACCATAGCAACAACTTCATCAACTCTCAAATCCATGAGCTGCAACATTTCTGTCACAACCTACACTGCCTCCTTACAAGTGGAAGCCTTAGAGCAAATCTGTTCATACGTCCCCATAATATTGTGATAATTCCTCACCTCATCAGTTGTCAATGGATCATGGTAAGCAACTTTTACCCGTGTGTGTTTCCGTTGTACATCCTTCCTCCAACGATGAAGTATATACTTCTCAGGAACAATCCTTACTCCACTAAGATCATAAACAAGAATCATATGGCGACAAATGGTTCCGTGACACTCAGAGTGTTTACAGTCACATGCAACTTCATAAGTACTGGTATTATATACAACCCGGTAGCATCTACGAATCTTTGTCACGGACTCCTTCTTTGCATGTTTAGGCTTGATCCAAATACGGTTCTCAATGACAAACTCAATTTCATTAGAACCGATTTCATTAGAACCAATTTCTTATTGATCTAGGCAACGAACATACAACATCTTCTTGCACTGTCCCTGAACTTCTTTGAATTTCGCATCCGTATAGCACTTTTGAAACAATCCCTCAGCCGGGAAATCAATCACTAAAGGCCTCACATACCGTTATGTGTTCGAGTCTGCCATTCTTTCGGCCTCTGCCCTTACTCAGACAACGTCGTATTCCTGTCAACATGCCCTTTGAAGAAATTATTGAAACTCTCAGAACATTGCGTCGTTTTCATCCCGGCCCAGAATAAATGTTTCAAATACGCGGGAATCCACATAACTCTTCCTCATAAAGCCCTATTTGAAATAACTAAAATTATTAGTTTTTCCACAACAAACAACTTTAGTACTAATAACTAGCCACACACAAACATCAACAACATAGGGAAACAAATGCTTATGCTACCTGCAAGTATTACTTATAGTAGTACAATTAATTGACACAGTCAGGTCTCAAAATTGATAGTGGTACAAAATATTTAACAGTGGGACAAAAATATGTTAAATTCGGTATAAAAAATTAACATTGCTACACATTATTCGTAATGGTATAAAAAATATACCACTGGTACAATTACACTTCTCAGTGGTACGTAAATTTAATATTTGGGTGCTTACGGCCGATAATGCACAGCAGCAGACCATCAAAACTACTCACACCAATCCTTACATTTCAGCAAGAACAGGCACTTACTCAAATATTAAGATCATCAACTACACATACCCTAAAAATGGGAACACAAAATCATAAGATTACTCAAACAACAAAAATTATAAACCTTTACGAAGTGTAATAAACTAACTCTCTAGCCAACTGTTATCCTGTAGTTTGTAATGATCAACTGCATCACACCATCGACCTTCAAATTCATCAGCATCAAAACTACCGTATATGAGGCTCTCAAAGTCATCCTTTACATCTTCGTACTCGTCATGCTTCACATACCTACCAAACTTCTGAAGGATGTGCCATATGCACCACCTATGGCAAGTGTCAGTCATAGTAGAATGAACAGCATTCCTAATTGCCGGATCTTGATCCGTCAGAATTGATGTAAGGGCTTTACCGCCCATACAATGCAGCCATGTCCTCATCACCCACTCGTACGTTTCTGCGGTCTCTCGAGAGGTCAATGCACAACCAAAAAATATACTCTGTCCGTGGTAGTTCACACCAAGAAATACAGCAAAGGGCAAATGGAATTTGTTAGTCAAGTAAGTACTATCAAAATAAACAACATCGCCAAACTCCTCATACGCAGCTCTACTCCTCTCATCAACCCATACAACATCCTGTAATGAATCATCCTTCCCAAACCTACAAAGATGAAAAAAAATTTGATTTTCTGCACTCATTTTGTTAAAGTACTCAATCATCCCATTTGCATCACCCTCAGTAAGTTCCAGCCTCTTTTTTTCCTCCTCAGCCACTACATTCGTCAAGTCTTTTTGAGTAAATGTCATCTGATCCACCCCATTCCGTTCGCTAGCAAAACATCCGTAAAACTGGGAAACCTTCACCTTCGAATTCTTCGCTAAAATCACCTGTTTCACCAAGTGCTTATTGTTAACAACCAACTCGTGCTTCCTGTACATGGAAACATCCTTGGACTTTCCCGGTGTAACTTTGTGTCCGGTGTGCTCCAACTTTAGCCTACGAACAACCCAATTCCCTTCTGCATTCACACTAGCTTACAACTCCACAAGACATCCACACTTTTTGGTTTTCCTATTTGTAATTGTCTCCTCATCTTGAATCAAGCCTTCCTTCAGTGGATCAACTTTATGCTTCCTAGAAGGTCTTCCTTAGCAATCACAGGTCCACTTAGCATTCCTCCCCTGCTTACAACACTTCCCACTACCTAATTCCTTCTTCACCTTCACCCATCAAGAAGCAGCCCTAACTATGCCAAACCCCTTTTGCCTAGCATAGCTCTAGAAATAAGTATCTAACTCATCCCAACTACCAAATACCATGCCTAAAGTTGGGGGTGGTATTTCCTCTTCCACACCGAAAACTGTTTGCACCATTTCCCTACCCTTCTTTGGTGTTACGAATGAAGAACCTCCTCCCTCTAACCCTTCACCATCAACATTGTTTTCACCATGTACTTCCTCATAATCTGACCCCCCCATTTCCTCCATCATCTCCTTCTCCCATTTCATCCTCCTCCTCTTCTGTAACATCATCCCCACTCTCTACCCCCTCATCATAAACATTTACATCATCCTCTCCATCATACTCACTATCTTCTCCAAATGGACCAACCTACAACACATATACATCCACAACTCATTCAACTGGCTCATTACAGAACCAAACAACTACATAACAACACAAAATACCAAACAAAAACGTTATAACTTGCATTCTGCCAAAAGTCGTAGATTACACAACACCTAAAGCCAAAATTATAGAACAAATTCCATCACTATCATCAATTAAATTAAATTATTACCAACATTATCCTATTAATTCACCTACATTAGCCTATCATCAATTATAAAGAACAACAACAACAACAACAAAAACAACGATAAAAATTGAATAACAAACTTACCCACATAACAATCACAATTTGGACAATAAACACAATAATTACTCAATAATAGATTACCCACCCCTACCAATTAACCAATATAATTAGTAAATTACAAAAACTCAACATAAACCCTAACCTCCTCTTACCCAAGCTTTAATTTTTAAATTCCACAATTGTTGTAGTTGATTACCTATTAGTGAACAAAAAACCCACAAAGAAAAGAAACAAACCATAACTAACCATCTCATAGTCGAATCTCAGCTCCCTTGCGCAACCATGCTCGTCTTCTCCATCTTCCCGAATTGCTTCCGCCAGATCGACATCCAAAATATCTACTAGTCGATTACTCATTCTACTAATCCACTGCTGCACTTAGGAGTTCACATTTGACAAAGAAAATTACTTTGTTGAGCTACATTATCGCCAATGAAGACCTTCTTCCATTTTTTTTATTACAGTCATAGCTTTACAGTGATAGAGTAAATAGTTTTCCCGCTTCTTTTTTCACTCCCTGTTACACATCATTCACCCTGTAATGAAGATGGCCCACTTGCATGTTAGAAAGTTCCAACAAATTGCAAAACTTCCATCCTATATGCCCCAAAATCCGTAGTTTCTATGCGCCTAGACTTAACTAAATTATATAGTCAATGAATTATAAATGACTTTTTACAAAAACACATCATATTACTCTCTCCGTTTTTAAATACTTGTTTCATTTCCTTATTTAGAAAGTTTTTACAATATTTAATTAATTTCTCTTATCAAGTGGTACCAACAATATTAATTATATATTCTCTCTCCTTCAATTCTCTACACTACTTTTGGTTTGTTTTTACAATTTTTCATTCTTTCACCAACACCACTACCTCCATATTTTATTACTTTCTCCAATTTCTCTTAAATCTCCGCGCATGGAGAAATGGAGCAAGTATTTAAAAACGGAGGGAGTAATTAACATTCGTATCTATAAGAATTCTTTTGAACTACAGTTGAAGTTATGATTACTGTTATATTTTGTGTAAAACTCCTCATATTGGAGTGATTCCATTGATCAAATATATATATATTTACAAGAGTGATTCCTAAACACATTAGGAGATCTCACAAGATAATTACATAATATTAACAAAATATATCCTTCTATACAAAATAATATTTATCATATTCTATAACACCCCCGCAGTCATATAGGGAGAAGGACGTACGCTAAGACTGGAACGAAACTCCAAAAATAGTTTTCGAGTGTAGGGAATATTTAAGCATCCCACACTTGAGCCCCACATACACTTAAGCATGGTGATAACCAAAGGAAAGGAAGCTAGAGTAAGAGAGTCGCCAACAAGTTTAAGGAACTTGTAAACCGTTCACAGAGTGAAGGTTACACCCCTTCACGATCCATGAGATCGCTAACTCCATAGTGGCCTTGAATCATGACTGGATATTCGGGAATGAAGGTACAAATCCAACCTAAAAGAGATTGAATCTGCCCTAAAAATAGGCCTCTACTTTATTCTTCTCATATTCATGTGCGCTTTCTGACTAACATGCAATCAATAGGTTAACCCTAACCTGTTTGTCTATGTTGGTTGAATATTAATGCACAAACAAAACTATTATTGGCGATCACTTGAATTATAATCATATTAGCCTAAACAAGTTTATTAATTATCTTATTACGCGTGATTACAAGTACAAATTCCCTTCAAACATGCATAAAAGGCGTGATCAAGCAATAACAATAAATAATATATATCAAGGAACATAATCATAACAATCATCATCATCATAATATTCTCAATCTCATCAAAGCATAATAATATTAGCAAGATCCTAGGCATGATACTAACAAGATTAATAACAAATCCTAACATGTCACTAAGAAATAAATATTAAAGCTTTATCCCTAACATGATACTAAAATGATAGAAGGAAAGAATAGGAAGCATCCTAAACATGATACTAGAAACATAGATGATATTAGAAATTTTAGTTATTACCCTAGACATGATAATAGGAAGCAATAAAAGCATCCTAACATGATACTAGGAATCAAAACAATCAAAGCATGATTTCTATATCAAAATAACAATTAAATTTCTTACTTGGATGTCTCATATCTCTTTCTAATAACAAAATACACATGTTAATAACTTCAAGGAAAATATTAAACTAACAAACTATTAAATTAAATAATTGAAATAGGGATTTGGGACCAAACCCTCAGAAATTATCAACCTTTCACGTCTAGGGCGAAGGCAACTTCGAACTTGGCTAGGTGTGTCTAGAACTAATGTATGCGGAATTTTGTTAGAGGGAAGATATAGAAAAAGAATAGAGAGAGAATCATTAAGCTTCTAGCTTTTAGAGAGGGAGAATAGTGAATTATTGATGATTATGAATGAATGAAAAACGGAGGCTAAGGACCCTATTTATAGAAAAATAGTCCGGAAACCGATCAAAAAGAAATCGAGTTCCATTCGGAATAAAAAATCTCCTGTCGCAAACAACAGGAGTTAGCGCCAGACGTCGGGATGTAGCGCCAGGCGACAAGTAATAGCGCTAGGTGACAGGCTTATCGCCTTGCGCTTAGTCAGAAAATAAACGCACTTTGCACGCGGAATCCTCTTCTTAATATGATTAAGCAGCAAATTCTGTGTTAATCAAATTAAAATCAGGTTTATCATAAAACACTTATTTTATTCCAAATAAAACTCTTTAAAATAAATTTATCAATCATAATTCTATTGGAACCTTCTAGATTATTTAGTAGATTAAAATCAATCCTAATAACTTTAGGAATAATAAATAATAGGCCCTCCTCTAGATCATTGGGCCGCATATTAAATTCATTTCAGGCCCAATTTAGTATTTTGGCCATAACTTCCTCATTTTTCGTCGGAATTGGGCTTATAATATATCGTTGGAAAGCTCTTTTTGAGCCTGATCCAACTGTAGTGCACCTCCAAGACTGCGATATAGTGTTGGATCATGAAATTTAAGCCTTGTCTCCGCACTAAGTTTGTATTGAGTATCCACTAGAGTTGCCGTAGGTTTACAATCGGTCGGACCTGTGCGCTCTAAAATTTCCTGTGCATATTTCTGCTGTGACAAAAAAAGTATGATAGAGTACGAGTGACAGCAATGCCCAGAAAGAAATTCAGAGGACCTAAATCAGTCATTGGAAATTCTGTACGTAAGTGAGAGATGATGCGCTCTCATAACAGATCTAAGGATGTAACCAACACAATATCATCAACATATAATAGAAGATATTCCACACCATTTCTGTGTCTGAAAATGAATAAAAAATTGTCACTTTTAGCAATGACAAACCCCATCTGCAAGAGAAAGTTAGCAAACCATTGATACCAAGCTCAAGGAGCTTGTTTTAAACCATATAGAGCCTTACGGAGTCTGCAAACATAGCATGGAAATTTCTTATCAACAAAGCCGGGGGCGTTGATGCATATACACACACTTTTTCAAATCACCATGTAAGAAAGCATTTTTAACATCAAGTTGATGAATAGACCACTTACGAGTCATAGCCACGATCAGCACTGTGCGAATAGTAGCCGGGTTTCACAACCGAACTAAACGTTTTGTCACAATCCACACCTTCAACATGTGAATTACCATTGCAAACAAGATGAGCTTTGTGCCGTTCCAGATCACCATTAGAATTCAATTTATGACGAAAAAGACACATATTATTACACTACAAGAAAAAGGGAAATTAGCAACTGATTTTTGCGACTACCATAATAATTAGTCGCAAAAAATATTTTTGCGACTGAAAAAGACGAGTAGTTGCAAATTTTGCAACCGATTTTGCAGTAGTTGATATGCGGTCACTAATTAGCGACTGATTTTTGCGACTACCATAATAATCAGTCGCAAAAATTATTTTTGCGACTGAAAAAAAACGAGTAGTTGCAACTTTTGCAACTGATTTTGAAGTAGTTGCTACGCGGTTGCTAATTAGCAACTAATTTTTGCGACTACCATAATAATTAGTCGCATGAAGTATTTTGTGACTGAAAAAAACGAGTAGTTGCCAATTTTGCAACCGACTTTGTAATACTTGCTATGCGGTCGCTAATTTGCAACGCTCTTATAACTTTTTGCGACTAAATTTTAGTTGCTAAGGTTAATAATTTTGAAACCATTTTTTTTTAAAAAATTTGCAACTACTATTGCAACTCGCTACCATTGTTTTTAAAATTTATTAATAAAGAAATAAAAAAACCCTTAATATAATAAGTTGTTGCCACCAAAAAAAACAAAAACTCCCATCACTACTTATTCTTATTCCTTTATTCATAATCATACAAGACTCTTTTTTCCGGAAAAAAAAAAAAAAAAAAAAAAAAAAAAAAAAAAACCCGCTTCCATTCTGAATTTCAGAACAACGAACCTTTTGTCGTCGTCGTCAACAGCCGCCTTTGCGCCACCACATCTCCTCCCAGGTGAGTAACTCATTCT